AAACATCTATACATAAAATGGTGTGGCTTACATGAAACATTTTGAACATATGAAATTTCAAAATATTTAAAATGAATCTTTAAAAAATGTTCAAAATGATTTTTTGAAATTCATTTTGATTATTTTTTTTTTAATATTTATACAATTTTGAAACCTAAATTAAAGTGAGTTTTCTTCTTTAGCACCTCGGCGATATTTACACAACAAATGACATTAAACCAGTCGCATATAATGCGAAGGTTAGTTCGGGTCTAGGTTCACAAAAACTCTGCACTTCAACAGACATAACGAGAAAAAAATCATCTTTCGCAGGTCAATTTTCTGTAAAGCAAATTGAAACGAATAAGTTACGCTCAGATTTTAAGACAGAAATAAGAGAAGGCAAGGCAGAAATAAACAAAGGAGAACGTGTGGGATTGTACATCAGGACGCGGAAAGCCTGACCTTTACACCGAAAAAATGCAGCAGCCTTTGTTTTAAAAGGGAAGAAAAAAAACCATATCCGCTTTTATGCCCAAAAAGATTCGACATGCTTAGCCAGATCTGCACCTGTGAGTAATGGATGATCATGTAAAGGGGACAGATCGAAACAATACATATTTCTTGAAAGGTAATAAAACTGAAATACTAAGTTAGGATTCTATCGCAAATTTAATTAAGAAGGAGTAAAGGTGCTATAATGGAAGATGTGAGTTTAATAATTTATTTCGGCAAAATTTTCCAGAATTAACAAGTGACAAATCCAGTAAAAAATATCGCATGTATAAAGCAACAATATCTTGAACATTTACAGACTACACAGTAAACTTATTCGCTAGCAGTGCTAATTATTTTTTGTTACAATGAGAGCAGCCGTTCGGACGATAATATGAGCAGTTCTATTTGTCCAGAAATTACGAAGGACTACAGTCATGACAATAACAAAAATAATCAGCCAAATGGAAACTAAGAATGCGAGTACAGCTCACTTATGCCAGCAATAAAGCCCTTATCACAACTATACTGACACTTGTGAGCTGTAAAAATTAATTATCGGGCTCGGCATCGACTGTGAAACTGAACCCAGGCCGTCATCAGACGCGTACGAGGCAAAGATGAGCGTTCACGCTCCAAACATGAAGATACAGTATATGATACTTGATAATGAATAATGTGTATTCGTAATATTTTTATACAATTTCAAATGGACACCTCATATTCAAACCTCATAATGGACCAATATTAACACCTCATATTCGAACTTTCAAGTCTACAAAAGGTCTGGGCCTTTACTTTCAAAAAATGTTAAGAGATCGTAAGTTCATCAGCCAGTCATTTACGGCCTTTCAAGCAAAATTCACCAATCATAGATAAGAAAATAGAGCGTAAGTACTTACTTTCACTTAGCGAGTTTTGAAAGAATGGCCCCTGATCCGTAAAATTGATAATTTTTGTACTTAAGGCAACTGCCATTTGAAAATAACGATAAGTGAGACCGGTGAAATAACGAGGGACAGGTGAAAAGCAACAGAAACTAAGACACTCGAACAAGAGGTCGCTTACACGGGACGTCGGCCGCCCGCACGAGAGAGACAGAGAAGAAAAATGTAAGGAATCCTACATACATTATACATAATAATTTAATGTAAGGAATCCTACCTACATAATAACTTAATGTAAGGAGTCCTACCTACATAATAACTTAATGTAAGGAATCCTACCTACATAATAACTTAATGAAAGGAATCCTACCTACATAATAACTTAATGTAAGGAATCCTACCTACATAATAACTTAATGTAAGGAATCCTACCTACATAATAACTTATCCTGCAGTCAGACACCGCGAGCTCAGCGGTGGGGCGCTCAGGAACAATCTCAGGAGCGCGAAATCCCATTAGGACTTCTGACGCGCACAGTCACGTGTCAGAAGTCCCCCCTGATGAGGAAATAAATGAAAGTAGACTACATAAAGCTACTATATGAACATCTGATGATTTATTGTTGAGTTTGAAACAAACGTTGAATGGTTAGGAGAAACGAGTTTAACTTTCGTATGATTAGAAGACTTATTAACTCATGAAGCAGTGCTTGTCGAGGAAACCGTATTTATTACTTCGGTGAGAGTAGTAATGAATCGCAAACAGTTGTCCATAATGGAAACTGACCGGAGCTACAAATTGCCACGGCACCCTAAGCTTCAGTGACGGACCACCTGCCCGCAGCATCCGGTCCTCTCCTGAGCCCTCGCCCACACCCGTCCCCTGTGAGAAGACGAGCTGCTGCCATCGCCCCCAGATGGTCTCCTACCTTGTCCCCAGATGGTCTCCTACCTCAAGGCTACCACCCCAGACGAGACGCACGCTGGAAGTTTCCCTCCACAGTGCAGATGAAGCGGACGATCAAAAGTGAAGATATGGCGTCGCTGGCAGTCGTAAAGAATGTGACTGGTGGGCTGTCTCTGGACACGTGTTGGAAACTGGAGCGAACTTTAATCTTCAAATTTACTGATGAAGAAATGATTAGGGTTGCTAACACCGAGTTACCAAAAATGTTGGGAATTGTAGCCGGCTACTACATTATGAATAACTCAAACCAAAATTATAATTGCCTTCCAACTGGAATTATCTTATAAAAGATAATTTTCTACAATTGATCACGTGAAGTAAACCCCATTAGGTCTTGCTTCAGAATCGGCACCACATTTTTCAACTTAGCATTTTAATAACTATCAAAGTTCCACATTCGATACCTCAATAGATAACAATTTGATCATAATTCCGAAGTGAAGCTCTTGAAGATAACATAAAATGTTCATATTATTTATGATGCCAGGTCTGCTTCACTCGGCGCCCCAGGACGTGGCGGTGCACATGGCGCAGCTGCTGCAGGCGTGCGTGCACGAGACGAGCGGCGGGGAGCGACTACGCGCTGTAGAGGAGCTCAAGGACCTGCTGGCCGAAGAGGGCGGCCTTGAAGATGAAGACGTTGATTACGAAGACGAGTACTCCGAAGGCGAGAAGTCGAACGGCGAAGAGCCTGCAGCTGATAGAGTAAGAGCCGGAGGTGCAATTGCTGGTCTAATTTCTGATTATGAACGTAAACACAAGACGTTGTGAGTCGTTTAGTATGTGTGTAGAGCTTGCATTGAGAAATGGGGCCGTTTCAATCAGCTTTGAACAACAACCCTCTACGGCTTGATGATTAAGGTGAAAAGAATTTAAGTGCCAAAAATATTTGTTAATGAAGTTTTCGGGAATCCAGTTTAAAGCAGACAATTGTAAATTAATCAATGCATATTTTATTGTGATATGTTAGCTCCCCGGACTTCAAGTCCCGTCATGTCCCCCAAACATCATATCCCCTAACGTCCTCACACGCATCAGCCTGATCGGCTATTTCGTTGCAGAATGAGACTTGTGGAGCACCAAGTTATTTTTCTGGTGAAATTCTGTGCCAAATTCTACTGCCAAGTATTTATAATGATGCATCTCCGTGTGTAATGCATATAATGTAATGATGTATCCTCCACGCACAATGAGGTAGTGTGTTTCGTAACTTGAATATTTAAAAATACTATTTTTTATTATTGAAATAAGATTGAAATCACAACGTGCTGTGAACGTCTTGTAGCATAGGGCCAACGTGAACTCCTGTCCTATTCGCAAAAATTGTTTCAATTAAAATCAAGCAGTTCCTTTAATTAGTGCATCTGTGTTTATTTGACATCTCTTTACTCCTATAGGATTTCAATGATCCTATTGTGCATTACGTTCTCGGTGCCACATGTATCGCGATTCCACCACAGTTTACAAATTTGAATTTTCGTTTCCCTGTTACAAGTCGTGGAATTTCGAACGGATCAATTTTAGGTTACACATAAATTCTTTTTGTAATACTCAACGACGTCGTAATTTGTCTCTCTGTACATTAGAAATAAGTTAATCTACGTCTAACGGAGCGCAATTCTCAAGTCTATCATAGATCTTCTGTTCAGAATCTCAGCAATTTACCGAGATCTGTGGCATTTCTCTCTTCTGAATCTTATGCCACCTTTTAGTTAGATGTTTGTTATAGGTATGTAATGGTTTTGATCATTTTAGGGTACATTTATATTGCCTCGTCTAGACATATTCAATTTGTTGTTTTAGAAATCTGGTATAATAACAGAATTTCAATTATTCTGGATCTTATGTCGTTTAGTTCATGAAAGTGTCTATATTTAATAATTTTAATATCAGAAATGTACATTTGATGTTCATGTGTATAATATACTCATTCGAAGTCGGCAGAAAGTCGTCAGTTTTGCTTCTAATAGAAAATTTTCTTGACAATAATTCAGTAAAATATGAAGCATCCTGGAAAGTTACCAAAAATATTGATTGATCGAATTCCTTTAAGTTTTTGTTGCTAATTTCGCGTTGAATTGTTGGTATGTAGAGTTAATTGATGCGTACTCCCGCTCATTAGTGCCTAAACCTCCTGCATATTAAATATAATAACTTGATGCCATCAATAAATTAAACAAGACGTGTGCCATTATGTTCAGCGGATAATATCGCTTGAACGGCTGCTGTCATGATAAGGACTGTGTTATATGTCACTAAAGGACTTGCCATTTGCGTGCTAACTGCAATAACTTGACAACGTCGATCCGCACGACTATTTATCTTCAGTTTAGTTATTACCTGTTTCGCTGGTATGACTGTTGTCATGAGTAGGATTGTTATCCCAAGCAACCTATTGCATCTGCAGCTTTACCTGAAGCTTGTCTGTTGCTATGGTTTAAAGTCCGCTCCAGCTTTGTGGCTGGAATCGTACTTTCATCTAGGGTTGTTGGCTTTTCTGTCTTGCCACATATGTTGAATGTTTGTTTATCACATTTAATTTCTCATTGTAGTTTTAAATTATTTTAAGAAATTATCTCGGAAAGTATGCATAATTTATTTTTTATTAGCAGTAAAGTTTACGAACAAGTAGAGCTTCATAGGGCCTCACTTCAGTACATGAATGGAGCACCCTGATGGAGCACGGAAATGAGACCATTTGTCAGTAACTCGGTAAGGACAAATTTAAAGATAATGTATTCTCGCTAAATATTTTTTATAAAATATGTACTAGGATGTCTCATGCGACACAAAAATCGACTACCTCCGAGTTTGGTTTGTCAAAATTTCAAATTTATAGCTTAATTTTGTATTGACACCATCGTCGGTAACGCTTTGGCTCCTTATGAAGTGAGGACTTTTGCTATTGGCTTTCTGTGTTTGATAGTTGCAATCAAAGCCTGGATTCTCGTAATATTATTTTTACAGAAATAATGCTATATTTTGTCATGACAATTTAAGTACTATATTATAACTTGTACGTACGCTAAACTCGATACGCTTTCTATTCATTTACTCAATTTTTATTTAGGTCTTCACCCCATCCATCCAGATGAGGAATGTCGGGCGCTTTCTCCTCGAAAACCTAATATTGATATTTTTTCCAAGATGATTGGCTAAATTAGCATACATTCATTACATGGTTACAAAAAAAAATGTTTTCCAATTATCCTATGCGCGACACGTAGCTGCTGATGTTCCACACAAGCTGTCCGTTCAACTGCCTAAGCTACTGCCGTACCTAAGGAGGGTAGAAAGTGAGATATAAATATTTTCTATCATATTATGCTTTGTAAACATGAAGTCTACAACTTTTGAAAATCAACTCTAGCGCATCATTTGCGCATGACACAAATTAATGAATCAATTTACCCATATTAAGCTTCATTTCAACCTTCAATTCTGGCTTAGTCATCAGTTTAACAAAAGAGAACATGAACAAGTATTTATTTCACATGCATTATCTCCAAAGTCTGAAAAATTCACTTTAATGGTGTTAATTAGCCGATTTTCGTCCCATACAGCTTAAAACATATTCTCGTTATAGCTTGTGTTCCTAGACACAATTAATTCCCCGACCTGTACTGTACTTCGGCATCTTCGTTGGCCAGCTTGCGGAATTCTTCATACATTTTCTTATTGAAAGATTCGCGCAGGAAGAACGACCAGAAGCGATACAGCGTGTTCATCTCCTGGCTTCGACCGATGCCATACCGGTGACGCTCTGCACAAAGATCACCATTGATTACTAATAACAAACTGAGAAGACGGAACGATCATATTTTCAGACGATGATTGAGTAACCACTAAGTAGTAGGTAAACTGTTGGGTGTGAGAAAACAAATAAGTTATGCATGCTTCTCCCTCATCCTGGTCGTAAAATAATTTCATAGGGCATGATAAATATTTGTGAGCAGTCAGCACTAAGCAGCAAAAATACTTAATAACACACGTTGCGCTAGATTCAGGAACTCTTGTGCAAGTTAGGAGTTGAAATACTAACCCTTGAGACATCTGAGTCTGTATCTGCAGTACTCAAACTGCGTGAAATTGTTATCCTGCAGCAAGGCATGAGAAGGGTGCTGGAATAAGGGCAGTTCCCCGGCGGGCGTTGTGTCAAACGAGCTGTTCATTGACGCCTGACTGCCGACGCTCGTAGACGCAGTGCCGTCGTACGCGTGGGGCGTGACATCGTTGTCACGAGGCACGTCGTGCACACGCGAGTCAAGGAGCCAACCCACGTGTTTTTCTACTGGCGGGTCGTGGCTGTGACGCGTCTTTTGCTTCAGAGGCTGCCGAGTCAAGACTTGACGAGCTGTGCCTCCGTTGCTGGTCTTGGTTACGGGGTAGAATCTGTGAAGTACACCGAGGAAATGCTTTAGTATAAGCAAACAAAGCAGTAAGAAAGTAGTTCATTCACAATTTTAAGATGCGGTTAAACTTGAATCTATCAATGTGATTACTTGATCATTAAATAGAGGCTCGAAGAAAAGGGTGTTCTTTAATACAAATATACTCTCATTACATGCACATTATCTTTTACAATGCAACATCTCAATCACGGCAGAAACAAATTTTTTCGGACGTAGCAAAGATGTTAGAAATCAGAAATAATGCTTCAGCTAATTTAAAGACGAATTTTTAAGAGAGTATTACCACTAATACTGTAATACATCGTTAACGTTAATCACGAATTATAGTTAAGAACACTGGCGCTAGTACATCGTTAACGTTAACCACGAATTATAGTTAAGAACACAGGCGATAGTGCATCGTTAACGTTAACCACGAATTATAGTTAAGAAACTGGCGAGGCAACTGACCTGGTGAGGTTACGTGGTAACCACGAATTATAGTTAAGAAGACTGGCGAGGCAACTGACCTGGTGAGGTTACGTGGTAACCACGAATTATAGTTAAGAACACAGGCGCGGCAACTGACCTGGTGAGGTTACGTGGTAACGACGAATTATAGTTAAGAACACAGGCGCGGCAACTGACCTGGTGAGGTTACGTGGTAACGACGAATTATAGTTAAGAACACAGGCGCGGCAACTGACCTGGTGAGGTTACGTGAGTCGTGCCGCTGCCTCTGCCGCTTTGCAGGAGCGCATGCGGTGGCCGCAGGAGTAGAGCCTGCAGCCTCGCTGCTGCTGGGGACGCTCCAAGCCCCTGATGTGGGCACCTGACTGGCCTGTGGTACATGTACAACTTATTTTTACCGAGTAATCTTCTCTTCATAAGCTTAATGTGAAAATTTTAACATATGAATTGTGAAAATGTTGACATTGAAGTGTAACCAGATTAAGCAAATATCAGTAAAAACCATTTCGAGAATTTACGCATATTCTTCTCAGAGTACCTAACATAAAAAAATTCATTCAGAAACTGAAAACATGACAGCCGCTATACTTACCGCAATCGAGCACATATATAAAGTACACAGATTGTCCACGCATACATAAATCATCGTTATTAATATTCATGCCTAAATTACTGGTAACAACAATTCCTGTCAATAGACAAAACAGAGAAAGAAGATCCTTGACTGTGCTGATCTCACATCAAAGGCGGATTGCGGTCATAGCCTTCGTGTTTGGGGGCGCGGGTCTTGAGAGGACCTGAGGAACACGTGGACGTTGCACTGCTGCAGGAGCTGGTGCGACGACGGCGAAGTTCAGAAGACCTTTGGGTGACGATCAGCAAACGCTGTATGTCGCGATCGCTAAACTCGGCAACGCTCTGCTCACTCTCGCTGCCATCCGCATCCTCCATCCTGAATGAGTGTTGGGGAAAAATAAACTTCTTCACTTAACATCAACTGGTACAGATAAGTGACAAAAGTGACGGCATTTATAGGTGACTGGAGTCAAATATCGTTCAAACTTATCCACGATTTAATATCAGTGACCAAATAATGGACGTATACTAGAATAAACATTGACGCTAAATATCATAGCCCCATAATAAACGCAGGGCGATCTCACCACTCAGAGAAGCTGTGCTGGCGCGCGTTCATGTCGCACTCGTCCTCGAAATCAAAGTCTAGCTCCTCACGCGCGTCGCTGGCCTGCTTCTTGGCGGCAGAGGCGGGAGGCTTGGGTACCTCAGCTGTGGCATCGGCCGACTCTGGAGTAGCGTTTTCATCACCTTCTGCATAAAATATAAAACAGGTTGAAATAGCAAAGAAACAACAAGAATACTATCGAGAGACAAATTTTTTATAAGGATAATTACCATAGTAGTCAAATTAATACATAAACTTTGTTTCAAGTCCTACTGACTCAACATCTGCTGACATTTGAGTGGGTATGAGTTGAAAGCAAATCAGAAGCTTCGTGAAAACGTTGTTTGCACAGAAAAGTTTGCTCGAGCACTGAGCATCGTAGATGCACGGACCTCCTTCCACATACGTCATCCTTCTAGGACAAGACATAAGTAGAAAAATTTATAAAAAATTCGACAAAAGACTTCTAGAGAATTATTAAGTGAGCTAATGAATCGCGCATGCAACGGAAACGGTACAGCATATTATTCGAATCAACAACTACAGTTATACGAACTAGCACATGTGAAACCAGTGACACTAATATGCACAATATCTAGCACAAGTTAGAAGAAATTCAAAGTGAAACAATCATCATTTCCCAAATTTTTGGTAAGTAAAAATCGAGATGATTTCAGTTTAACGCAACTTAATTTTATGTCGGCAAGAAACTTGTTAAACCATTTTTTTCGCTCTAAACAAAATCTATGTGTTCCAAATTATTTCCAAGCGCACAAATGGATGCATATACGCCCCTTGCATAGCAGAAATGCATCGGAAGAAAATGTTAGCCCTGAATAAGGGCTTTTCCCATATAATCTTAATAGGTGGGATTTGTCGGCATCAGAAAATTCCAAGCTTTAGAACTATCTAAGCAATTAGTTTGCTATTCAACGGAATATTGTTCTTCATAATTAGGTAAATTATGAAGAAGAATTATAATTATTATCGTAGGTAAATTGTTTCACACGGTAAAGAAACATGTGATCACTATCGAAATTTCAACGTTGATATCAGACCCTCCACTATAACATTCGCAACAGATTTATCTATGACAATAATCGTTCTTTTAACCAATGCTGATCTTCTCCTAACGCAGATATATCAATAAAATTAAGAAATCGGTAGCTAATGTTTTCTTAGCACAGACATCAAAACAGGCCTCCGTAATTTAAACTAATTTAGGTTCGCTAAGATTAGAGAACATGAATGTCCGGAAGACTTTACAATTTAAATTTTGTTGGTTAAGCAAATGAAATAAATCCAAATGATTAAACGCTCTTCCACTGACGCAATTGTTCCCGCACGAGTTTATGCCATCTGCGAATTACGCTTCTATAAATTATACATTAAGCAAAAGCTCTCAACGCACTAGTGTGGCTCTAAAATCTAGTTCCGATCATTTCGACCATATTCCATTATATCATTAGGCTAATACCAAACCTAATCCGTCAATTATTATTTATCGAGAGAGATTAAAACCACGCAATATTACATATATTCACATATCAACTCGACCACATAGCTCCACAAAATGGCTTTAGGTTTCCTTAGAATATTTCATCCAACACTAACTAATTTGGAGTCACGACCCATCAGACGACAGAAGTAGTGGTTGTAAGAAGTTTACTGGCGCTTAAGATAGCTATCTATTTCGTGCCGGACCTAAGATATTATGTTACGCCAAAGGTATTTGATCTCTGCAGTCTTCCAGGCTTGAGGCCTGCTCCACATAGGTGTAGGTGTGGGACGGTAGATTCTTTCCGTGGCGGAGCGAAGGTCCGCTCCGGCTTCATGCACGTACAAGTTCCAGTATCAAGGCAGTGGGGCTTGGTCTGGGTGATGGGGTGATGGGCTCAGTGCAAGTACAGTTTCGCGGAGTATGGCCGGTAGGCGGTGTCATCATGGAATTATGCTAGATCTCTGGTAGCAGGTTGCATTCCATTAAGTATAGTCTGAGATTATCGGTTCTAAAGTTACTTTGCTGGTCTTCCCTTATAATTCTGGTGAATATCTCGTCATGATCAAGGGCTGATGTGTTGGGGTAGCAGTTTCGTCGGATGTCGCTGTTGCTAGCACACTCCGCTAAGACATGCAACAGTGTCAGGGGTACCAGGCAGTCACCACAGTATGGCATAGGACGACGCTCAATCAAGTAGCCATGAGTGAGGCGCGTATGACCAACCATCAGACTACACAGCGCTCTCTCCATCTGTCGGGATCTCTGGTACGGCGAGCTCCATGCTGATACGCAGTCCTCAGTTCATTTATCTCGTGTTCAGCCACAGGTCGAGCCATATATGGCGAACGCTAGCTCTAATGAGGTACATAAAGGATGACGACATAGGAGATGACGCCGAGACGATATAAGAGATGAAACTTAATACTCGGTCACAACCTTTCCTGATTTTTTTTCGAAGTTTTTCATTGCAGTGCGACAAACTTTTTTAGCTTGATTTCGAGCTCTGGCATACAGGTTATAATCAGACTCGCTGCGAGTTCGTAAATAACGCTTGTAGGCTTCTTTCTTGGTCTTTAGCTGAGTCTTAACTGCACTGTGAACCTTCATCACAAATCAGAATCACGAAGTAGAAGGACTCTGAAACAACGTCACAATAACATGACATGTTTCTATTCATCAACAAAGAGACAACTGGAAGCTTCACCACTTTCATGACGTGATTTCAATTGAACAATACCATGCCAGACAATTTTTTCACTCGGGTTCATTTTATATAAAAAACGAATCCTAGAGGATGAGTCCTTAAATAACTTAACTTAAACCTTTGCCCCTTAAGTAAGTAGCCTTAATTAACTTAAATATAATACAGCTAAATGCTAAAAAGTACCAACACTCGCCGCCAATTCTGTTTAATCTTACTAAAAGCAAACCACTCATGCGAGACAGACCAACACGAGTACCATCATTGTCGTCGCACCGTCCAAGTATATCTCAAATTACCTTGATAATGTAATATTACTGATCACGACTCGTATCAGCGGCAACATGAATTTTAGAATTGATGAATAACGCTGGTTTAATTGCTAACGCTAATCTAAGGACAATTAATAACTAAGACTGACCAATCAAAACTGCCTCGAAGTAGCGACATTGAGACACAAATTACAAAAGCTCGTTATCGCTACAAGTACGCGAAGCTACAGCAAATACAAAATACTGAATAAAAAAAGAAAATTGTCGACCCCTTCATTCATTGAAACGTTAATGAATAGTCGTTGAACTATTCATCGTAGTAGTACTATTCACTCTTATCACAGTACTTATTAGAAGAATTAATAGCTGAAGCGCTCAGTAGCGCTTTAGCTATTAAAACATTTTGCACCAGAAATCTAATTAAACATCCATAGCATGAAGGAAGGTCTCACTCAATTTTCGGAAATTCCACAAATCAAATACATGTACCCCACAAGGGTGAAAAATCGCATCAAATGATCAAAGTTCATTTCCTGGTCATCGCTACAAGCATGCGAAGTAAATACAAGAACTGAATAAAAACCTAGTCTAGAAAATGATCGACCCCGTCAATCATTAAAATCACATTGAATGGAGTTATATTCGTCATTGTATTATTTATTCTTATCGTTCAAATAACGAATCTCACGATTAGGTTCGCAGTAGAGAATCCAATGAAAATCGGCTATTACTCTCAGTAAAACTGTCAGGTATATACCTGTTTCTGAACAGGTACTTGCAAGCCTATATAGTTCTAAAGTGCAGTAAGAAAAACCCTTGTACATGAAACAGCAATAACTCTACCACCTCCTAGCCATAATAAATACATCAATGAAGGCAGACATGAAAGACAATCACAAACAACTTAAGATGAAAAAAACTAACCTTATCTTTCTTACTATTAAAACAGCCCATAGACCGTCTGAGTACCGGGCATCACAGCCATTTTATCACTTCTTAAGACAATAATGGCAACAAATAAGCGATATCTTAATAATCACTTCCACCTGGAATGATTAATGCAAGTCCTATATAGCAGCTAAAAGCGAAATATCACAGTCTTTTTCTTCCTCGTGTGTTTTTAATAGCATGCAGAGCAACGAAATGTGAATATCACATTCACTTTATTTCCTAGGGATCGAAAATCAATCAGGCTTCAACATGAAAAAACACACTAGAAGACAAAATACCAGGAAGAAAGATTCGCATAGCATCGTAAGAATCGCATGGCATGATATCGTAAGAACCGCATGGCATGGCATGGTAAGAATAGCATGGCATGGAAAGAATCGCATAGCATCGTAAGAACCGCATGGCATGGCATGGTAAGAACCGCATGGCATGGCATGGTAAGAATAGCATGGCATGGAAAGATTCGCATAGCATCGTAAGAATCGCATGGCATGGAAAGAATCGCTTAGAATCGTAAGTGCGGGAGATTATTTCGTACCATCTCGCTGGTGAGCGATCACCGCTAGAAAGCAATGTCCACATGCAATAGCAGACTTAATTTTGAACAAGCAAGAACAAAAGCAGGGTTAAATGGAAGCACTTAAGATAACGTAACGGTAAATACTGGCACATTAAAACAAGGGTCGTGTTAAGAATAAAGCGATTAGCAAGAGAGTCAGCTTAGCGCGTAAATCATTAATGAAGATAATCAAGGGAGATCGTGCTTGAGGTATATGACTTAAAACAGTGCGTGAAAAGATTAGAAGCAATCCCAGCAGAGTTTGGCATGGAAGGTCGCGTAAACGTAGACCCAAAACTCGAACAAGAAAAAGAACGAGTAATTACCTCTAATGAGGGCGAGCGACTCGTCTGAACGAACGCTGGCTGCTTGTTGCGCGTCGAGAGTCGCTGGCACCTGCTTTCCAGCAGGCATCTGAAGTTCAACGCATGTCAATAACATTGAAATAATTCATGAGATCAAACGTCAAACGGAAACATTGAAAACTTGACGCATAAAATGTTCGAATAGATCAAAGAATTGGTCTCTAAAATTGAGATCACGAACGGATGGTTGAGAAAATGAGGAAGCTTTAATACATGTTGAAGAAAGAATTCATCGGAAATGCTTTGAAAATGCGTCTAAATCGCGGGGAAACAAGAGAAAAAAAATTATATAAAGTCCGGTAATACAAAAGACAATGATTAAATTTGTTCTTGACCAAATCCCAATCGATATGGAAGCCGTGAGATAATAAATATCATCTCTTAACTTTCAAAAGGCATAAGAAATAATACCCTCTGTCCGTTAACGTCATAAGCTCGAGGACAACAGTTTTGATTTACCAATATAGGGCCGTGGAGCGTANTGTGTATAAGAGACAGGTTGTTGTCAACCGGGGGAAGGCTGACGAGCATACCGTTGCCGTTATTCAGAGACACGCTGTTGTTGTCAACCGGGGGAAAGCGGACGAGCATACCGTTGCCGTTATTCAGAGACACGCTCTTGTTGTAAACTGGGGGAAGACTGACGAGCATACCGTTGATGTTGACCATGGGGTTGAGGGCCATCATGTTGGGGTTCGCGGTCATTATGTCGGGGTTCGGGGCCATCATGTCGGGGTTCGGGGCCATCATGTCGAGGTTCGCAGGCATCCCGTTTATAGCTACCATTTCATTGTTGATGGGGACATCGTTGCTCACTACAACGCAGTTAGGAATAGGCAAAGCAGCTGTTGGAGCGACAACAGACACTCCATCGTCAGGAGTGACTACGGCACTAGCAGCGACTTGTCCACTCATAGCGTTCGTACAATATAGGTTGAAGATACTCCTACATTCAGCGAGGACTGCTTGAATCTCAACGTCCCCAGTCTCGCATAGCAGCGCTCGCAGCACATCCAAGTAGCCGTTGCAGAGCTGCCAGTAATACTCGCTCACGGCCACCGTGCAGAAGTTCAAGGTGCCCGAGGCAAGCAGAGCAGCATAGTGCAGTTCCGCATGTGTTGGGTATTTCTTCAATATGGCTTTCAGAACTTCGTCCAAGTTCACAATTTCTACAGGAACTTTTTCTACCTTGTTCATGAGGGCAAAGTTTCGACATAGATTAAGCATGACTTGGTTTGCGGTAGGAGACCCCATGAGAAGCGAATACTCCCAGGAAGGACAGCTGGAGCTCTTCATCACGAAAACAACTGCGTTTTTGAAGACTTCTTTCAGTTCGCCATCAATGCACCGAACAATAGAATCCCCACCTTTGGTGATGGCATCAAATACGACGTTCTTATCAAACTCGAGGCCGTTGCATAAGAGGAGATTCAATGTGTCCACTATAGACTCAGTTTTCTTAACGCGGTTGAGCAATGTGAGGCAACTGGCGAGAGAGCTGCGCTCGTCCGTAGACCCAGACACGACACGGTGAGCTTTTCTCGGGCTTTCCTTGAAGAACTGGTAATATCGACTACGGACCTGAAACAAAAATTTTATTACGAAATGGCCAACGCGCTGCAGGTCTCTGCGTTACTGACACACGATATATAAGCAAATGTGTGCATTCATTCGTCATTATTTTGTTTGCTTCATTAACTGGCCATTACTTGTATATGTATTCAGCTCTAAGTCAGGGACTTCACTGTAGCAAGTTATAACAAGTACAAGTCGCATTATTTGAAAGACAAGTTAGGCAATGGACTCGATTTCTATAATCTTTCAATGCATTCCATATGAATCTTTACAAGAAAACACCTATATTTGCATTATTTCGACTAAACAATTGACTGGTATTGAATGAGACAGTAATATGATGTAAATGGATGACTTAGCGAATACGGACCCTCTCATTAGGAAGGATCTGGAGGTGGAGGCAGGAGCTGAGGTACTTGATGACATCGTCGACGGTGAGGCGCAGCAGCCGCAGCCGAGGGAACTTGATGAGCTCGGCGATGGCAACGGACCAGTCATCGTCCATGAGGGCGTGCAGGAAAGTGTCGTGCTCGTAGTTCTCGGCGCTCAGGTAGTAGCATCTGTACAGGTACAACATTAATAAATTCAGCGATAATGTGGTAGAATAAAACTAATATTTATTCGCTCTCCTACTAAATTAATAGGAAACTGTCGTGCTCGTAGTTCTCGGCGCTCAGGTAGTAGCATTTGTACAGGTACAACATTAATAAATAACTTCAGAGATAATGTAGTAGAATAAAACTAATATTCATTTGCTCTCCTACTAAATTAATAAAATAAGCCAGGTCGAGGCAAGAAGAGCTAACGCGGATGAATCATAACCCACCCAAATTATTAAATAAAACTCTTTCAGTATACTTTGACCTTCACCTAAAAATACTAGCAAGCCGGTACATACGAAGCGAAGTTGTGCATCGTGCCTTTTAAAAAAGGACCGGTACATTTGAACAGCCATGAGTAAAATATAACAATGAAATACACGATAGTTTCAGAAAACCAGGAAAATGCCAGCGCGGTGAAATAAATCAGAGTTGTAATACAAACTTAGAGTGGCAATGGTTAAAAGTAATGCAATACTCACGTTTGGAAGACGCACAGGGCCTTTACGACTTCAGAATGTTCGGACTTCTCTTTCTCGATGTCAGGGATCACGAAACCAAGGTTGGGCACAAAACGGTGGTTAAGTGTGAAGTTAGAGGCCAGCACCTTGGGGATCTGAAAGAAAATACAGGTAATGTAAAGAACTGCAGCTTAAAAATATCAATATTCCAACGAACAAAAATTGTTCTCGCTTGGCCCAAAAGCAAGACATGTTTATAATATTAAGCTATTGAAGTATATACTGCAACAACTAGAAATCATGTAAATCAGGATTAAATTTAGTTAATAAACATCCAGTATTATTTACTGTTCTCGCTTGGCCAAAAGCAAGACTTGTTTATAACACTAAGCTATTGAAGCAAATACTGCCACAACTAGAAATCATGTACATCAGGATTAAATTTAGTTAATAAGCATTCAGTATTATTTACTGTTCTCGCTTGGCCCATAAGCAAGACTTGTTTATAAAACTAAGCTATATTGAAGCAAATACTGCCACAACTAGAAATCATGTACATCGGGATTAAATTTAGTTAATAAGCATTCAGTAATATTTACATTTTCTTAAGTGTTCATTGGGCTCCGAAAAGTGATGAGCACTCACCACCGTGCGGTATCCAAGCGAGTCTCCCTCTTTAAGAATGGAGTCGAAGGCAGTCAATATCTCCTCCTCGGTGCGAAGGAAAGGTTTGGCAGTGTACACTCTGATGGTATCCGTCCAACCACACACCTTGTGGAAGATCACGCCCTTCTTGTCATACCTGAGCACCGCATCCTCTCTGTACTTCTGGTCAGCCACGTCTGATCCGCCGCTCTCACGGCGTGGTCTCCCCTCTCCATCATCGCCAATTTGTTCCTCATAATTTAGTCCCGAGTTGAGGTTGTTTGTGCGGTTAACGTTGTTTGAAAAGTGATGAGCACTCACCACCGTGCGGTATCCAAGCGAGTCTCCCTCTTTAAGAATGGAGTCGAAGGCAGTCAATATCTCCTCCTCGGTGCGAAGGAAAGGTTTGGCAGTGTACACTCTGATGGTATCCATCCAACCACACACCTTGTGGAAGATCACGCCCTTCTTGTCATACCTGAGCACCGCATCCTCTCTGTACTTCTGGTCAGCCACGTCTGATCCGCCGCTCTCACGGCGTGGTCTCCCCTCTCCATCATCGCCAATTTGTTCCTCATAATTTAGTCCCGAGTTGAGGTTGTTTGTGCGGTTAACGTTGTTACGATTGTTAAACCCAGCTCTGCCACTACTGTTTCTGCGCACTCCCTGTCCTCTGGTGGCGGAAGTGTTATTGTATCGCGCGTTATTGTAGTTGTTGTAGTTGCTGACGCGGAAGTTTGAGTTGCTTGGCACACGACCATGCGAGCTGCTACGGTTGTATCCTCCTCTGTTATAACCGCGACCTCGACTGTTTTCGCCATGGAACCCGATGGCATTACCATTGTATGGCTGCCAAACAGCTGCACAATATTAATTGTCATTTTATATATTGATATAAATATCAAAAATATCAATATTTTATTTTATATAAATATTAAATATATGCAAAATTCCGAGTCGAGACTTGATGCATCATATAAAATAATGAAATAAAACAACGAAAAAAAAACAAGCACGAATTAAAAATCAACGCAAGAGAAAAAATAATAAGATATTGTACGTAAAGACCGAAAGGTGAGCGAGTCACTCACCTCTGCTCCTCCTGTTGGTACTACTGCCATTGTTGTTTCTGTTGTTGTTGTTATAATTGTTGTTGTTGTTTCTGTTGGTGTTGTTATTGATATTATTGTTGTTGTTTCTGTTGTTGACGTTATTATTGTTGCTGTTTCTGTAAGTGTTGTTGTTAACACGTTGATTGCTGTTCCTGTTCACTGGGTTTGGAGGAGAGTTCTCGCCGTTGCTGTCACGAAGAACAGCAGTTGGCGCCCCTGCACGGGTCGCTGCCGCGCCCCCCGACAGAGGCTCGGCAGAGGTACTGCCCTCGCGGGGCAAGGTGCCCTCAAGGGGGGAAGTGCCCTCAAGAGACGAGGTGCCCTCAAGAGACGAGGTGTCCTCAAGAGACGAGGTGCCCTCACGAGACGAGGTGCCTTCAGACGGTCCGTTTAGAGACGAGGGTTGCTCGTTTGAGGACGATGAAGTAGCGTCGTCGGCTCCACTGGGCCGGGACAAAGAAACGTTCTCTGTTTTAGTGTAGTTTTTCTGCTTGTTCTTCTTCTTGCTTTTGGTTTCAGCGGGAACAACGGCAGCTGTTGCCACTGGCTTCAGCGCCGGCCACGTGGCGTTTTCCTGAGCCTCGCTCATCTCCACGGTTCCCTGGAATGAGGAAGAATGTAATTCATGAATAGCTATTGATAAACAAACGCAAACCTAATCTTTAGCTGCAAATTATTGTATTAGCAAGGAAACTAGCTAGTAAACGAAGAATGTGAATACCTATAAGATAAAATAAGATAATATAATAATTGAATAACTCAATGAATAAATGAAATATCACCTACGAAAATTGTAAATTGATTAGAAATCGTATTGACAATTTCGTTAACAATACCATAAAAGAATCATCATGCACTGCAATTGAGATGCAATATGCGACCGCAACGGGCTTACCTCAGCTGTTGCACCGCGCCAAGGAGCAGGAGTTGGGGGATTGTGTCGGGAAGAACCGCCGTATTTATTTGCTCTCCTACTAAATTAATAGGAAAGTGTCGTGCTCGTAGTTCTCGGCGCTCAGGTAGCAGCATCTGTACAGGTACAACATTAATAAAAAACTTCAGAGATAATGTAGTAGAATAAAAATAATATTCATTTGCTCTCCTACTAAATTAATAAAATAAGCCAGGTCGAGGCAAGAAGAGCTAACGCGGATGGAAAATAACAAGCCCAAATTATTAAATAAAACTCTTTTTGAATACTTTGAATTTCACCTAAAAATATTAGTAAGCCGGTACATACGAAGCGAAGTTATGCATCGTGCCTTTTAAAAGAGGCCCGGTACATTTGAACAGCCCTGAGTAAAACATAACAATGAAATACACGATAGGTTCAGAAAACCAGGAAAATGATAGCGCAGTGAAATAGAACAGAGTTGCAATACAAACTTGGAGTGGCAATTTTCAAAAGTAATGCGCAATACTCACGTTTGGAAGACGCACAGGGCCTTTACCACATCAGGATGATCGGTCTTCTCTTTCTCGATGTCAGGGATCACGAAACCAAGGTTGGGCACAAAACGGTGGTTAAGTGTGAAGTTAGAGGCCAGCACCCTGGGGATCTGAAAGAAAATACAGGTAATGTAAAGAACTGCAGCTTACAAATATCAATATTCCAATGAACAAAAATTGTTCTCGCTTGGCCCAAAAGCAAGACATGTTTATAATACTAAGCTATTGAAGTAAATACCTACTGCAACAACTAGAAATCATGTAAATCAGGATTAAATTTAGTTAATAAGCATCCAGTATTATTTACTGTTCTCGCCTGGCCCAAAAGCAAGACTTGTTTATAACACTAAGCTATTGAAGCAAATACTGCCACAACTAGAAATCATGTACATCGGGATTAAATTTAGTTAATAAGCATTCAGTATTATTTACATTTTCTTAAGTGTTCATTGGGCTCCGAAAAGTGATGAGCACTCACCACCGTGCGGTATCCAAGCGAGTCTCCCTCTTTAAGAATGGAGTCGAAGGCAGTCAATATCTCCTCCTCGGTGCGAAGGAAAGGTTTGGCAGTGTACACTCTGATGGTATCCATCCAACCACGCACCTTGTGGAAGATCACGCCCTTCTTGTCATACCTGAGCACCGCATCCTCTCTGTACTTCTGGTCAGCCACGTCTGATCCGCCGCTCTCACGGCGTGGTCTCCCCTCTCCATCATCGCCAATTTGTTCCTCATAATTTAGTCCCGAGTTGAGGTTGTTTGTGCGGTTAACGTTGTTACGATTGTTAAACCCAGCTCTGCCACTACTGTTTCTGCGCACTCCCTGTCCTCTGGTTTCGGAAGTGTTATTGTATCGCGCGTTATTGTAGTTGTTGTAGTTGCTGACGCGGAAGTTTGAGTTGCTTGGCACACGACCATGCGAGCTGCTACGGTTGTATCCTCCTCTGTTATAACCGCGACCTCGACTGTTTTCGCCATGGAACCCGATGGCATTACCATTGTATGGCTGCCAAACAGCTGCACAACATTAATTATCATTTTACATATCAATATATAACATATGAAAATTATTTGTAAATATTTTATTTTATATAAATGTTAAATACATCAAAAATTCCGAGTCGAGACTTGATGCATCATATAAAATAATGAAATAAAACAACGAAAAAAACAGACCCGAATTAAAAATCAATGTAACAGAAAAAAAGATCAAGTTATTGTAAAGACCGAATTGACGAGTCTCATCCTTCGTAGAAATGAAGTTGGAGCGAGTCACTCACCTCTGCTCCTCCTGTTGGTCCTACTGCCATTGCTGTTGTTGTTATTATTGTTGTTGTTGTTATAATTATTATTGTTGCTGTTGTTGTTGTTGTTAACAACACAACAATATTATTATTATTGTTGTTGTGTTGTTGCAACAATAATATTATTATTATTGTTGCTGTTGTTGTTGTTGTTAACACGTTGATTGCTGTTCCTGTTCACTGGGTTTGGAGGAGAGTTCTCGCCGTTGCTGTCACGAAGAGCAGCGGTTGGCGCCCCTGCACGGGTCGCTGCCGCGCACCCCGACAGAGGCTCGGCAGGGGTACCCTCGCGGGGCAAGGTGCCCTCACGGGGGTAAGTGCCCTCACGAGACGAGGTGCCCTCAAGAGACGAGGTGCCCTCACGACACGAGGTGCCCTCAAGAGACGAGGTGCCCTCACGAGACGAGGTGCCTTCAGACGGTCCGTTTTGAGACGAGGGTTGCTCGTTTGAGGACGATGAAGTAGCGTCGTCGGCTCCACTGGGCCGGGACAAAGACCTGTTCTCTGTTTTCGTGTAGTTTTTCTGCTTGTTCTTCTTCTTGCTTTTGGTTTCAGCGGGAACAACGGCAGGTGTTGCCACTGGCTTCAGCGCCGGCCACGTGGCGTTCTCCTGAGCCTCGCTCATCTCCACGGTTCCCTGGAATGAGGAAGAATGTTATTCATGAATAGCTATTGATAAACAAACGCAAACCTAATCTTTAGCTGCAAATCATTGTATTAGCAAGGAAACTAGCTTGTAAACGAAGAATGTGAATATAAGATAAAATATGATAATATAATAATTAAATAACTCAATGAATAAATGAAATATCACCTACGAAAATTGTTAATTGATTAGAAATCGTATTGACAATTTCGTGAACAAAACCATAAAAGAATCATCATGCACTAATATTGAGATGCAATATGCGACCGCAACGGGCTTACCTCAGCTGTTGCACCGCGCCAAGGAGCAGGAGTTGGGGGATTGTGTCGGGAAGAACCGCCGTCGTTGATGGCTTCATCGACTGACAACGAAACAACTTTATTCTCAGGAACTACGGAACAAGAAGTGAACGGGTTCACAACAACAGCAGGTTTCCGCATTGTCGGCAAGATCGCCGTGACTTGCGGTCTAGCCACAACCAATGAAGATGATCCGGAGGTACGCCTTTTGGTTGTAATAGCACCCGCAGCTTCTGAAGTGTGTGAGGCAGTATTTTTTGAATGAGCTCTTTCGGGAGTCTTGGGAACTGATGGCACTGGAGCTTTATGAGGCGATTCGGTTCTTTTCTGAGGATCAGATCCACTCGATGATGGAATGTTGGTAAGTGAAGAAGTTCCTACCACAGAGATCTGCACTATTTCAGGGGCAGGGGAAGCGTTGTTCTGGGTCGACTTCTTCGGCGATGTCGAACTCTTGACCGAGCTTGAGACTGAGTTTTGAACTGGCACGGCAGCGTTCGAATTTTGTGAAGGAGAGCTACTTGTCCGCGAATTTGAGCTTGACTCGCTTCTTTGTTTTTTATTCCGGCGACGGTTTTTGTTTTTGTTACGAGACTTGCCCTTCGTTTTCGTAGGAACAGTAGGGCTGTTCATATGTCCGTTCAAGCGGCTGCCGTTCTCCTGTTGAGAACCTGAAGCGTCAGCGCTGCTGCAGCTGCTGCTGCGCTCGCTGCCATCAACTCCGTTGGCGTCGGTAATGACTTGATCTGCAACACAACGTAGAATGAGTGCAAATAATGCTAAGCTGTCGAGTTCTTAGGCATTTTCAATACAAAGAAATAATTGTCAACAGAGAAATAAAAAAATCGCTAAAGCAGCAGAATAACGAATACTTCGGGATGGAAGCATGATACACAACACGAAAAGCGCTGCAATAGGGCGAAATAGAAACTTAAAGTTTCTATAGAACATTCACTTAAAAAAAACTTATCATGAGGGAAGAAACAAAGCCATAAAAAGAGAATAGAATTAAATACTTATTTTAATGTACGAATTCAAAATCATTCTAAATAACGTGAAGTGTGGATGAACAAAGGCGCCAATTTTCAAGCATAATCAAGAAATCTTGATAAAAACATACAAAGGAGCTAAAGGGTACTGGAAATCATGAAAGAATGTGAAGTAATATTTTTCGTGAAATTAGTGCATGTTGAGCAGTAATGTAACTTGGCCAGACTGAGCCACACATGCGGTTTCGACTAGACATTACCAAGTCGCAATACTGCAGCTGTAAAACAAAGAAGCCTGACATACATCTGCATCGTGAGCCGCTGCAGGCACTCGCAACTTGATAGTTCAGTTCAGTGTAGCAATCTGCTGGTCATACTAGGCAGTACTTTACTGTACCCTCAATAAATGATAACAAGTGAAATTGAAAGTGAGAATTTTTACTGCCTTATTCCAAGACGAGCATTTGATTGTAAACGCATGAGCAGCACAATTAAAGTGTAGGGGCAACGAACAGCAAAATAATTCCGAGTTCAAACCACCTATTCTATGAAACTGCGACAAAGCATTCGCGGAAAAACGGAACTTTGTATAAGGAGAAAACATATGTTATAATGAGGTTGTTCGCATCTCATGAAGATATTTTACCTCATGCACAAGCGTGGAGTGAGAGAGTATCGAGATTCTGTCGGCCGATGGTCTCGACAAAGGGAATAAATAAGTTGTGATCGCAGTTTTGTTGGCCCTAGCATCACGAGCAGCACGGTGCTGGTGTGTGTCTTTAGCACACGAATGCGGCGGGCTTGGTGCGATGTTGTTGTTCTTACTTGGCAACGTCCCTAGTGACGTCCCTTACTTGGCAACGTCCCTAGTGACGTCCCTTATACTTGGGAACGTCCTATTCAATGCAACAATTCTCATTGAAATTCTCTTGAACCATGAAATTAAAATTTTGAAATTCATTTTACCAATGTTTGTGTTGAGATGAAATTCCTAGCAGGTTAAAACGAATTTCATGTTCTGAAATTATTTTAGAATCGATTACAAACCAAAATAAATTACTTTATTTATATTCAAATTATCCGTAATTTATAAACCAGTAAACAAAATTCGCTACACATGACCTCAATAGATCTCAAAATATCATAAGATTATCTTAGTCCGCGCGAATACACAAGTCTAGGTACTACACATCAGTTGTGAATACAGGCTACTGCTGCAGGCCACTGCGCAGTAGGAGAACCTCAGTAATATTGCTAATAATAAATATATTTCGTTCTTTTAGAAAAAAGTTAGGAAACTTGTACGTTAAGCAGAGCTCAGGTCCAATCAAAATAAGTACTAAAAATAAACTAGTTGGAAATTAGATTTCAAATTCCACCGGAAAAAATGAACATTAAATATATACATATATATCTATTCTAGTGTTTAAATTCTAGTGTTTAAATTTTGAGGATAACCATGCCATCAAGCCTAAAAATTAAAAAAATGAAGCCCGAAGTAAATGCAAAATTTGCAATAAATGAAATTGGAAAAAGAAGACACAACACACGGTTCCTAAGAATGATCTCGAGCGCTCCATGCAGCAGGACGCAAGTCATCTTCTCAGAAAGTTGCTCTCAAGAGACCCAGAGAATTCAGCAGTTCACAGCGGCGCTTTACACAACACAATCATAGTACAAATCTGGCAACGCACTTTGCTTTTGCAATCCTATGACTTGGAGATTTGTGTATCAAACGAACGTAGCTAACTTCAAAGATGTTTACCGTATTACAGTAT